GAAGAAGTGAAAGAGCAACTAGAAAAGAAAAAGAAAGGATCCAAGGCTTTGGCTGAGTTTGAAGAAAAGATGAACGAGGTTGGTAATGTTACTAGTGTGTAACATTAACTTGATTCTTCTTATATGCTACTTTTCCTCCCTTATCATTAACAGTGCCAAGTACCCGTAATATTTCACTTCACTCATGCTTTTAATGAGGAAATGTTTTGTTTCATTTGTATGGCAAATTAAGGTTACCACTTAACCAGTGAGGAGGTACTCTCAGCTCAGAGAAACGCCACATAAAAAGTTTTGAAAATTGCTGGTGGATAAAACTTGGAACTTTTCATAAATGTAAATAGAGTTATACAAATGCATATGTTTATATTAATAAATGAAACGCATTTTCTGGTATGATAAATCAAAGTCTGTTGTGCTAATCTTCACTTGTTTAAGGTCACACAATGCAAATATATTGGAAAGAGGTGTATTGCTGGAAACAGACATCTTTGGCAAGGACCATACACGTGGTATTTATACAAGAGAAGGCACAAAGAATAGCCCTCAATATACGGATAGAACTATAAAGCACTTCTTTCTCTCTCATCCTAAGCTGATTACATTCCATGCTGGTTCCCTACTGTAAATGCAGCTGTTTTAATGCTTTTGTTCAGTAGCTACTGGGTATCAGCGTGCTATAAGAAAGTTTCATGTGCAACTCCTGTTGTATACATAGGAAGAAATTAGTATACAGTGAATTTAACTATTCCTGTTCCTCCTTGGGTTCCGGTATCTCAATATAAGCTTCAAGCAGTAATCCTATCATTGTGCGAAGAGTTTCTGGTTGAAGGAGATGATGTTTCTCCTCTGTTACTGGAAGGACATAGTATTCTGGATATACCTTTTTGCCTAAGAAGTTATACCAGTATTTGGAGGGTCATGGGATACTGTTCTGAGAGGATCAGTTGTTCTGTGCTCTGTGAGTTTTAGTTTAGTATTTTATCATATTCCTTTCCTGCTTTTATCTTTGCTTTATTGTGAAATAGTTGAAACTGGCGTGGATAGAAGATAACAGCCTTTCAGTATGGCAGAAGGGTAGGAAGGGATGCAGAGAATCATGAAATGACCATGAGTTCTTCCTAAACCTCTTAAGAACAGATCTCTGAACACTTAAAAAGATTACAAGTATCTGAATGAGGTGCTATATCTCCTATTTTACTGACAGATATTGTGCTTTTTTGTTTAAAACATGACACTAGCACAGTCTTAAAATAATTTAAAGAGAATGCCTGCCTAATAAAGCACAGGCTGTTGTTAGAGGCCCCTCAGGTAGCTCTGGGTAGCCAATGTATCAGAGTACACAGCGCGCTGCGGTATTGCGTAGGTGCTGCCTTGGACCGTGGAACCACGTCACGCACAGCACTGTATCCTGGCTAATCTGCCGTGTCTCTGAGCAGCACCGTGCAGCCAATTCACAGGGTGCTGACTTGGGGATCTGTGTGTCGTACTGCCTTGCACAGGTGTCATCTTACTTAATTCCTGGTATTTCTGTCCCTTCAGCACAACGTGTGGATTATCGTTGCTTTGCTAATACAATACCAACACAGCTTCATTGTGAGGAAAGGGAGGATCAGAATAGTAATAATAAAGAAGGGAGCACATGATGTGTCTGACACGAGGAGCAGGAACAGCGCAGGTTGAAGCTTGCAGCCTTCCAATCTGATGGGGGCGGGCTGGATGTTTCAGGGCTCTTGAAGGGGGGATTTTCGGTAGACCTAGAGACCTTGTGAGGGATCGAAAAGGAGGAATGAGAGGAGACTTTTATCCATGCAGTGTGCTTGGCCTAACAAAAGTAAGAGTGTTTCTATGAAGACGTGTATAAAATATTCTCATTTTTGTTGACACTGACAAGGCCCAGAACAGACACTAGAGACACCCATACATGGAAGAAGGGCCAGGAAAATTTGGCTTGAAAATTTGTTTCAGGTGATTTTAAAACTAAGATGAAGTAGCAGTTTTTCTGGTATGGTGCCCTGGCTTTCTAAAGTGCTCTGGCAAGAACAAAAATACCATAATTGATTACCTTCAAGATAAATGACAAATAATTTGAACATTAAAGTGCAAACTAAGGTGGTATTTTGATGAATATTAATCTCGTGTAGAATCAAATGCATTATAGTCTTGGTTAACATTCTCTTTTCTGTGAGTTTTGTGAAAACTGTAATGTCAGGTAGAGGACAAAATTTGGAAAAAGATATCTTTAAAAAAGCTGTTTGGAAGTAACATTCATGTCACTGTCTCTGTTTGGTTTTATTTTCAGAATTGGAAGAAAGAACTGGAAAAACACAGGGAGAAATTACTGGGTGGAAATGAGAGTTCCTCCAAAAAGAAGGAGGTAAGTTATTTTCAGCTTCATACAGTCTGTATTTGGAACTGGATTTATCGTCGGTGTTGCCAATACAGAATGTTATAAATACATTTTACAAGACAGCGTCGAAGTACATAAATCTAAATGCACGACAGAAGAACACGATGCCAAAGTAACATTTGTTTTATTCTATTTTTAAGAAAAAGAAAAAAGAGAAGAAGAAATCTAATAGGGTGAGCAAAATTTTCAGTTTTCCGAGCTTTTTTGCTTTGGGGTTGTTCCTATTTGTCATTTAAATTCTCTTGGAAAGAGAGTATAGCTGTAATTTTGAATTTAGCTGTAAATTAACTGATTTTTATTTGAGGGAGTGGTCTACATTTTATACAAGGAGAGTTTTACTTCTGCTAAAAGGGAGGAAAAGAGCATTAAGTAGATATGATTAAATGAAAAATGTTAGAAGTTACTTTTAGAGTTTTATTTAAGAAAATCTATGTAAGACCAGCTTCTTCAAAGTAAAATTTCATTGATAATACTTTGCAAATGAAGAAAATTTAAAGGGAATGTTTGGAGGGACTTTTGACTATTTGCCAGACAAAATGCTGCATCTCACAAGCTTCACTTTTTGTTGTGTTTGGTCAAGTTGTCTTCATCTTCCTCTTCTTCATCAAGCTCTGATTCTTCCAGCAGTTCATCTGATTCAGAAGATGAGGTAAGAGCTAACTTACTGGAATCTAACACGTTTTGTTCATGAGGCTTATTTAACACAGCTTTTAGTAATATATTTTAGAATATTTTCTGAGGGCTTGATTTGCATAAAATTATTTAATTTTTATGCATTTGATACATAAAATAAAGTTAATTTTAAATATATATCTGTTCAAGAATTTCTTTGTGAACACTATAAATTTTGGGTGGCTGACTTGTAAACTGGATCCATTTCTGTTTTAACATTGAATTGCATGTTTTTTCAATAGAATCCCCCGTCTAATCATAAAAATGCAAACATACGATTTTTATTTTTTAGCAAAAATCTTTGTTACAGATAATCAGATTCTACAGCACACATCTAATAATAAACAGAATCTAGAGAACCTGGAATTTTCACCAGTTTACATTTTTTCAATGCAGAAGAGTTACGAAGGTCCTCCGCTAAAAGAATCAATTGTAGTGCACTTTATTCCTCAAGAGAGCATGATAACATGTAGGAATTTGAGTGTTCCCTATTCTTTACATTTAATGTGAGTCTTTAATTCTAGTGAGAATAAATTCAGGGTTGTGTTTTTCTTTTTTCCTACAATATTTGTGGATAGGATAAAAAGCAAGTGAAGAAAAGAAGGAAGAAGAAGTATCGCTCCTCACGGAAATCTTCAGCAAGCTCATCTTCTGAATCTGAGTCAGACAGCAAGGTAAATATGCAGATGTGTTACCCTTGGCAAGTTTTCTTGATCTGTTATAAAGACATAAACATTTCTGACTTTTGCATATCAATATTTTTTTTAATCTTCCAAATTTGAAGCCATGCATTCTTAGGTAGCTGAGCTACACTTGTATCTTCCTGATGCAATCGGGAATCCACCTCCACTGGCCACAATGTCTGGCAGAAATAATTTGATCTTTAGAAAGCAAACATGCTTTATTCCAGCAATTTGTAGTATTTTTCTGAATTCAGGCATGCGCAGCTTTTGTACTGCTCAAATGTTTAGTTTTAATACTACATTAACACCATCTATGAAAATGCAGGTATTGTAGGATGTCAGTGGCCAGAATATTGCCTTTCTAAATATCTGTGGACTGAGTAGTTTCCTCTTGGAGCACTGAGCCTTTCCCAAATGCATATTAAATTGAGGGTGTCTTTTTTCCTTTTCTGAAAGTAGAGCAATGTAGATAACACAGGCTTACTGAATGAACAAAAAAGGGGAGAAGATATATGAGGCAATTTGTTCTGTTACGTTGGCATTTTTCTGTGTTGCAGTGGATAGTAACTACTTCATGCCTAAATATTAATAATACAGTGAGTTGTTAAGATTGTGTGTGTAGACTTCATCACAGACTTTCACTGGAAAATCTTAATTCAGTGTGGTATAAATTGTGATGAATCACTGCTTGCGTACAGCTATGAATTTGCGCTAATGGGAGTTTGAAAACTTCTGCTACATGAAGGGACACAGAGATACCCTTACTGCTGAAACTGGAAGGCAGAAAACTATGGAAATACCGGCTTAACCCCTGGCTGATCAGCGGCGATGGGCATGGTTAGAGAATAAAGACTCCAGACTGTTGTATGTTAAACATGTGGTTACAGTAGTGACAGTTGGTATCCTTTCCAGAGGCTCTCTGTGTGACTGCAAGTACTCTGTTACGTGATTCCAAACAGATCTTTTCACACTGCTGGTTCAGGAAATAAGCAGCTGCATCAAAATTACGCATTTTTCATATTTTTCCTGTTAAGTACAAAGTAGAAAGAACAACTTTGAAGAAGGACCTTCAATACGCAGAAAAAGACAATGGGTCAGGCTGCTTTTGGGATTTCTATCTTTTCCCTGAAATATTTTTGTCATGGTTTATGTTTTTCTTTCTATTTAGGACAGCACAAAAAAGAAAAGGTCAAAGGAAGATTATGAAAAAGAAAAGGTATTTTTACTTCTGAACTACTTGCCTCAGAACTGCATTTTTACATATCTAATGGAATGTGCTTTTTTCCTTTTTTTTTTTTTTGAATACCGAATGCCTCAATTTACACTTACGGAAATTTTCTGTCCAAAACTACACAGTCAGAAGGCATTCAGTATCCCCAGTTTGAGGGAGACTTTTAGTTGAGTTCAGCTCCTGTTGTTAGTGGAAACTGCTGGATCTGTTCTTGTTATGACGGTAAATGAGACAGTATCTAATCTGCTGTAGTAGGTCAGCTACATTCTCGTGTTTTGCGTCTTATCTTGAGCAGTCACGTTGAGCTAAAAATATGTGTGGCGTATTTCAGTGGCATGCCTGGTAGGATACTGGCTTGTTGCTGTAAATTAAGGAACATCAAACAGAGGATGTATTTATTGAAATGTAGTCATAATTATAAATATTGTACTTGTGATGGCTTTGAAAAATTGCAGAGAAAAATGTATTAGCTTAAGAAAAATTACCTTATTCTGTCTTTTCTCCGAGCATGAAAACTGTCTCTCCTTCCTGCCATCTTGTCATTTTGTACGCACATCTGAGCACTTTCCTTCTTCCATTATGTTTAATGCAAATAATCTTTTTGACTTAAATTTTAGTTATTTCTACCCTATGTGTAAACTAACAATGCTTTCAGAGTCCACTCCAGTCTTTCTCTCCAGTTACCTTTCTTATCACATCAGCCTCTACTGCTCCAGTCAATAGTGTGGACTTTGATGTACAAATTCTCCATTGCATAAGGCAAATGCGTGGAGTTTTTTTTTCTCTTGCTCCTGCTTCCATTTCATAGTTTCCATTTGCCACCAACTCCTTTTGACTTTGAGTAGCTTCTCTTCAAAGACCGAGGATGGACCATAGCCCCTTACTGTAGGGCTAGTTTAACACATCTGAAAGCAAAGGGCGTTTGGGGACTGGAGGTCTTCCCCTCCCTGAAGATTCCCCGTCTCCCAAATGAGCTGCGTCGTGTCTACTTTCCATGAGTGCTTTTGAGAAGGGATTGAGGTACCTATAACAGACTAAATAGCACAGCTGAGATGCGTGGTCCGACCTTGCAAAAAGATGATTAACAAGAATTTTTTCAGTTTCTGGCCTTACAAATTTAATGGAAGAAAGTAGCTGCAGTCATAGCCTGGTCCATAGCAAAGGAGGGCGGGGCGGAAAAGTGTCTCATCAGAGCAATCTCATGCAGCATGAAAATTTGAACAAGAAATTAAAAAAAAGACTGTCCTTTAAATATACTGAGAAGTATATTTGTGTTGAAGTGCAGCTGGCAGGGATAGCTTGTCCTGGTTGGACATAAATATAGAGGGAGCCTTTTATGTTAATTTCATCAACAAAGCAAGAGTCTGAAGCTGCAGTGTTTGTATGCACGTATTGAGACACGTTCATTTACTCAGTATTTAAAGGTGGTTAAACATTTTATTTTCAAATGCTTACTCCTTCATGTGTTATTATTTAAAATAAGACACTATATTGTAGTATTCTTCCTCTCACTTTTAGAAGGCTGCTGTATCTTGGTGACAAAATAAAGGAATATACAGAAAAAAGATTATTTCCATTAAAAGCGTTTTAACAGTTGGTAGGGTAATTTGTTGATGATGAATAATTAGTATAACGTCAACAATATTTAAAAATATTTCACAACTTAGAAATAATATCTCCATCTAAGTTTTAAGCAGAAGTTTTACAAAATTTGAAAGGCTTTACTTTACTCACAAATATACTACTTTGTGTAGGAAGGCAAAAATCACCACAGGAAAAGGAAGAAAGCGGATCGTGGTGATGGACCTTTATCATCAGAATCCTTGTCCGAATCGGATCAGACAGAGGAGGTCAGTGTGAAATCTCAATTTCAGATGTTGTGATGCTTTTAGCTTACTGATTCGCATGAGTGAATGAACGAATTAGCTTAGATTTAATATATTGTTGAAACCGTTCTGCTCCGTACGGTTGAATTTAAAGGGTGTAGCACATTCAAAGTTGTTTATATTTTTCTCTTTAATAACAACTTTAAGTGAGAATTGTTTAATATAGCTCCTTTCACCTACCAGTTATTTTGAATAAATTTGCTTGAAAATTTTCAACTTTTTATGGGTATTTTGGAGCTTAATGAAATGAGGCTAAGTGATTTGTGTGGTGTCCTTTACAAGATTTCCCTCTGATCTTTGTGAATAGATAGGCAGATTTCAAGATGGCTAAATTTTTTGGCTCCCTTTCCCAGTGAATTAAAAATTTTGGACGTAATAATCTTACTCTCATCCTTGTGTATATATACTTTGAGGATTCATGTTCTTGTAGGATTACAAAATTTTGGAGGGTTCCAATGTGTTGCATTTTCTCATTAAGAATTTTTGCCACGTTATTAGCTTAGTAATTTTACCTTTATATCTCTGCTGTTTCTCGTTCTGCTGTGTATTTAAAAGCTCATTTAAATCAGATGTTTATAGGATAATGCGTATTCTAGAATATAACACAGATAACCAGTGCTTCTTCATGGGTTATTGTTCAGTATGTTCTGCTACTGTTGTGCCATAGTTCGTTTATGTGCAACAAAGGCTCAAACTTCTATTTAAAACAGCATTTCCGAAGCTGCTTTCCCATTACATTTGATTTAAATGTTTTTTCAGGTTCAGGCGAAAAAGAAGAAAAACAACGAGGAAAAAGAGAAAACAGCAAGTATCCTCCTTACTTATACTATAGTTTTAGGATACAAACACTCTTTACTTGGTTAATTTCCAATTTCACATTTTTCGTTAATACAAATGTTTTATAGCAAAAGTCTACTGTCACGTGAATCCAAATTATCAACTTTTCTATTTACCTGCTGAAGTCACTTTTTCAATTGTAGAATTAAAGGAAGAATTTGTCACTATATAGATACATATGATTTGAGATTTGTGTAAGTTTAACACTTATTGTAGCATATATTTTACTCTGTATCAACTTACTAGAATACTAATACCTGTAAGATGTACTGGGTGGGGTAGCAGTTTGCCACACAAGCATCAGTGCTGTTCCTTTGTTATCGTTGTGTATAATTCTTCCTTGTTAAGCGCCCCGTACCAAATCATGGTGCAAGTGCTAAAGATTCTAGCCAAAAATTTAATTTTACATAGTAAATATAAGCACTTACTTGAAAGTAAGTAAACATCCTAGTTATTGCCATATATGTGAGATGTCACTGCTTGTCAAAGCACTTCCTTATTACTTTCTCAGAAATCTATAAAGCAGTGAAAATCATTTAAAAGAATAGGAATGGAATAGTAGCAGTGATGAGAAGTATGAAATAGCCAGACCACGATGGAGATAAATTGAAGACTGCTCATAATAGTGCAAATTACTGGGTAAAATAGGAATTTTCTTTTTGTGATTTCTCAATAGGCTTTTATAGAAATCTCTTTTGAAATGTCTTTCTAAAGGTGTCCTTTCTGTGCTCTCATTTTGCATTAGCAGAATTTGATAGCAATTTTATTATACGATAACTTCCATTCAATTTTATTATTTTTTAGGATAAAACAAAAAAGAGAAAGAAGCACAAGAAACATGGTAAAAAGAAGAAAAAGAAGATTGCTGGTTCAAATTCAGATTCGGAATAATATTTTTAAAAAAACAAGACTATCAACGGAAGTGCAATGACTAAAGGAAACTTAAACTGTGAAATGACAGCAAACTTTACCAAACTGCATGAGTTTTCCTGTGTTTTAGAAATATTCCTAATCTTCCAGTAGCCAGCCAGATGCAGCTGTGCTGGGAAAGGCCATTGTTATTGCCTGCTGCTTAATACATGAGGTACAACTTTTATAAAATTCCAGTAAGCCGTGTTAGATGTTTGAAACAATATAAGATGGTAGTCCAGCTGAGGTGTAAAATATTGGAAAATAAGAGTTAAACTTTTTAGATAGTAAAAGTAGTCTTTTAAAGCATTAGTAATAGTCTTTATTTGTAAATCAGGACAAATAAAATCCCAAGTTCATCCTGCAGGTTAATATTATAAATAAACTATTACAAGCTGGTGTCTGCTAATGGCATTTACAAAATGGGAAATTAATGATAACATTTAAAACGCTGCCTTTGTAGAAATGTTTATCATCTGCCCCACTACTGTCTTCATGCTTACGAGAAAGGGAATGCTACCATTTTGGCTAACTGAATCGGGTGCCTGTGCCTTTGATTCCTGCAAATCTCTGCTATTTTTAATCCATGCAGCATCTCTGATTCTAGGGAAGCCAGAACTATCATCAGCAGACTTTTTCTGAGTAAGCAGTTCTGGGCTTCTAAGCATGTGCTTCTGCATTAAGCAAGAGCAATGACATTTTGCAGTATAACTGACATTCAAAACCTGAAGATTTTACCTCCGCTTCTTTGAAATAGCGATAGATCTTTGCTAGTAAATATGCGTATTTCATTTAATGTAATTTTGGTTAAGTTGAACACTTCGTGCAAGCACTGGTAGCTTTCTTTGCATTATCTTTAGAATTGTTTTGCATGATTTGTACCATTTTTAACTTAATGAAATGCAGGTAATCATTTGTTGTAACCAGTTCTATGAATTACGTTCCACATGCAGAGTTTCATGTATGTATTTAGTTATTCTTATAGTTAAGTTCATTGCTGTGTTTAAGTGCACACTTGCTGAAGATATTTAGCATGTAAAAAGCAGGGTTTTGATACCTTAACAGCTTCATATTGAAGCTGATTTTACTCTAAGCAAGTTCAGTGGCAGACCTGTTACGTGATGTGTCCTGTTAGATTAAAAAACTACTGCCAGAATCTCATTAAAGATACTGTTTAAACAGTTTGTATTTATATTTTTGTACTTGAGGGCTACAGAATGTTGACCTAAATCATAAAGCTGTTTTACTTTGAATTAGTTGCTTTAGAAATTGAAAAAGCTTTTATAAATCAAATGTGCACACAAGAAAACACAAGCAACCATTTGATTTTAGTTTTTACATGAAATTCTCATTATAACCTTCCATTGATGTACCTATTGCTTGGCCTCATGTTAGCCTTTAACAACTGCCCGTCCATCCCGAGTGGTCAACTATAGATTGTACTTTTGATCCACCCCTTTTTTCATTGCACAGGTGCTAACTTAAAACTTACCTCTGTTGCATACAGATGTTTCAAAGATTTTATTGCCAAGATTTTCAGGATCTTTAAGACTTTGATTATTAGTCTGCAAACCATAACTAAAAACTGGGGGGGAAACAGGATTTCAAATTGTCATTCTACAGAGAAATTGACTTTTCAAGTTAAGTTCTTGGGAAAAGACAACCATTGAGTTGCAGCAACGTCCCTCTAAAACAAAGTAAGAATATTTTGATCAAATATTTTATACTGTTGGGCTTGATACTACCAATTCTAGACACTGTTTTGTCAGGTTAAAATAAATGCAAGATGCAATGAACAGTAGGGGTTTGGTTTGGGGTTTGTGTTTGGTTTTTTGGGGATTGTCTTATTTTTAAGTTGTGATGTTGCAGTTTTGGTAAAAGAACTTGTAATGAACCATAGCATAAATGCACTGTCCTGTGTGATACCTTATTTGACTTTTACACAACTACCTGCAACAGAAAGAAATAAAAATGGAAACGAGAGCCCCAGTCTTCCAAATACGTAAGCTGGTATGTGATTTTAATTGTCTGAAGGTAACTGTCCTGGTCAGCTGTGTGTGCTCCAGACGCTGTCGCGCTTTGGAAGTGCTGTAGCTGCTCGAGGGGCTGACGGGTTTTGCCAGTTCACAACAGAGCTGCTTTAATGCTGACAGCGAAGTGTTTCTGTTTCCAATACATTAACAAATACCTTGCGACTCCTCTTGCATCCTCTTTTTTTTCCCCTGAAGGAAGAGTAAAGTCTGGTCACAGCCCTTCAGCTCTCCCGGGTCGTACACTCCTGAGTACCTGAGGAGGTGAGGTGGGTTTCGGGGCACCACACCAGGCAGCCTACCGGCAGGTTCCAAGCTTCAGCAGCGGGGCACAGTAGAAACGAGCAATGTGAGAACAGGAGTATTTGAACAGATTTCTGTCTGCTGACAGCGGATGAACAAACAGTATTGCATGTAGTATTCAATTGTTAGCTCTTCTTTCCAGAAACATTCTCAGAAGCTTGAAATTCAGTTATTTTGTTTTATACGACTGCTATTTTTAATGCAGGATACAAATTTCCTTCGTTACGGCCATATATACGCGCGTACGCGTGAGCCGCCGGCGTCACCAGGCGGCGCCGTGCGG